AAATTTAGTGCTATATACTTGTAACAGCTACCATGGCATGCACTATGGTTAGGGCTGTGCTGCTTACTTGTGAGCAATTGCCACATTTCCCAGGTCAGATTGCTCTGAGCTCCTTGAAGCTCCCTGTTCTTTCATGAGATGTGTTCCCATAGGAGATGATTTGACTTTGCTGCCCACTCTGGCTTCAGTTGAGGTCACCTTTGCTTTCTGTCTCAGTGAAGGTAAATAGGCTTAAAACCTACTTTATGGAATTTCTGCATGGCCACAATGCCAGAGACCTAAAATTATGGTATTTTAATGCACTGGACTCCCCTTTTATGTGGTTACCCACTTAACAACCCTTGCATGTTTCTATGCAAAAAGAGTGGAGCCTTCCTACAATGGACCTACACTGGAAACTAGGGTGTCAGTTCTTCAAGACCCTACCTTTTTCTACACTGTAAGCAATTTTTTCACTTTTTTGCATAATAATCTTTTATTTTTCTAGCAGTTTCCTAATTTGGCCAGTGCTAAGACAAGTTGACTGTGATGACAGATGGGGGAGGATTTGAATTTTTCAAAATGATGGATAAATGCATAACAAAAATCATTCAGATGAAAGCAGAAGTGGAAAGACAGAGACCAAAGCGGGCTGCTGACCCCGCATCCACAGATGCGAGTTTCATTTAAAAGTGAGTTAGGGTTTTTTTTTACTGGACCTTTTGAAGCAAGGTGTGCACAAACATGCCAAGTCCTGCAGCCTTTCCACACCGGGAGCCTTCCTCCAGATGTTCCTTGTATGCTCCTGACTTGCTGCCTTGTTTTTTTGCTCTTTTTGAAGTGGAGTCCCATTTCCTGTGCACAAAGACCATTCCCTGTTGTATTTTGGAACCCAATTAAAAATATCATAATGATTTTGCTTAAGATTCAGCTCTGCTCCTGGCTGACTTCAGCTCCCTTATTCTTATGGGGCCTTTTGGGCAGGAACTCATTTTACAGAGCAGACCAGCATTTTGTCCAGAAAATGTAGATGTGCAGCTTAATTGTAAGGCAGTCCGGGCTGTTCTCCTCATTGAAATGAATTGTGCTAAAAAGTGACATACAGTGTCAGCTTCCTTCCCATGCCAGGACACAGCTACATGTAGGGCCTGTGCCGCTCGCCCACCCCACGAGCAGCGATGGCTGGCGTGGTCTTCCCAGAGCGGTCCCCAGCCCACCCTGAGAAGCTCAGCCAGACCATTCCCAACTCATTCATCAACTCTGAGAGCATCACACAGACCCCACCTTTGTTCTGGCCCTCCCCACAGATGTTCACACTGCCATGAATTATCAAAGTGGGGCCGTCTACTCCAGCCGATGAGTGATTTGCAGCGGAAACGGGTTTGGCTGTAGCTCTGATTTGTTCCTAGGAAAAGGCTCCTGACCCTGCTGAAGTCCCCGGGAACGCCGCCAAGCTCTTCAAAGGGACCAGGCCCTGCTTTGTAAGCTCACCTCTGGGGTTTGGCTTGCAAACACCTACAGAGGTGTCGGTCACTCAAGAAAGATGATGAAGGGGAAACAGAGCTCAAAGTCCAAAGGGTGATGCCGCACAAAGTATGTAGCTGAGCAAATACTGCTTTAGAAACAGCGTGAATGAGTTCATTAAGCGCAGCCCTGCCCTTGGCTGCAGCACTGAGGCAAGGCTAGGAAGCTGGATCAGCCTTGTGTCAACTATCGTAAAAGGGTGACAAAATGAATGGTGTACAAGAGGAAGGGATTGCAGGCATGCACATGCTTCTTAAATATCACTTCCAACCGCCACAGCCTCTACTGATCTCCCAATGGCGCTGGGCACTGGCCAGACTATAACAAACTGATGCCTTTCCCTAGGAGGAGAGAGTGGGCTGGGGGGGAAGAAAATGGGATAAAACCAGTGATTGCAGAGGACAACAAAAAAAGATAAGGGGGAGCAGTGTTAATGCAGAAGTGGAGAGGTGAGGAGCCCCGAGGGAAGGATGCAGGAAGGGCTGACAGTGAAGGTGCAGGGGTGGCGGGATGTGGGGCCTCAGATGAAGCTGGTGGGCTTGGCCAGGGCCACCCCCTGGCTTGGAGCGACCTGGAGCTGGGGTCAAACCAGATACCAATGGGATATGGCAGTGGCCCACCACAGGCTGGGCTTGCACCTCTCTGTGCCAGGCGGAGATGGTGCCAGGGCAGACCCAGTGTGGCAGAGATGCCAGGGTCCAGGACCACAGGACCACGGTTTGGGAAGCATCGTGTACCCCAGCGTGGGCCTGAGAAGCGGCAGGGAGTGCTCAGAGGGGCAAGACTGGGGAGCATCGGGCCACAGTGGCCCCCTCCTCACCGAGGGGTCTGTCCTTGCTGGGCAAACACACGGCGCGGGGGCAGAACTGGGGTCCTCTCACGGAGTGGCCGCTGTGCCCCCGCTCACGGGGGCAGCAGAGCCGGGGTCCCCCGGGGAGGCATCCGCCTCCTCGCCCCCATTCCACCCGCCGAGGCGGGGCAGCATCCAGATGTGAATAAGAAAT